TACTTTTTACCGCAGTTTAAGGGTAATTTTTATCTCAGTAAAATTTGTCTTAAAAAGACCATAACTTTTACCATTAAAGCAACTGTAATTTTTACTTAGCTGTTAAGGTAAAGCTACGGTCACGTGGTACCGAGGAGAAGCTATAGCACAGAGCAGATGTCTGCTGTAGCTGCTTAGCCTACAAGTTGACACGTTTTTTGTTTGTACAAGCGACATGAATAACTGTAAATAATTACAGTGTAAATATTTTATCCAACAAGAAAAGCAATTTTGTCTGCTTAGAAATATCCTTTGCATCCTGCTAAATGAAAATCAAACCCAGACGCAATAGAAGTCGATAGCGTAGAAACGCCTGTCTGTTTTGAAGAGAAAATTTGCCAGTGCCAGGATACGGACTTGAGTGATTGTATTGCCTCATCCTCTGTAAATTCATCTAAAGGCAATAACTTCATTGTAAAAAACGTACTAATAAATAAAACTGTGTTCATCAATAAATTTCTATTACAATATTTTCATTTTAATAGCTGAACATGTTAGTGAATAATACAAACGTGAGTATGGGTGTTGTTTTTCTTACAAATTTTTCATCATTAACACTGCTGATAAATACCAACTTAAGACGTGTCAATTTGCAGGTAAAGCAGTTGCAGCAGACGTTTGCTCTGTCTTATAGTTTCTCATTTGCACTACGTGACCCTAGCTTTACCTTAACAGCTAAGTAAAAATTACAGTTGCTTCACGGTAAAAATTATAGTCTTTTCAAGAAAAATGTTACTGGGGTAAAAATTACCCTTAAAATACGATAAAAAGTATAGTGACTGTCGCCGTTTCACACTTTGCTTACGTACAGTTGCATTTACGGTAAAAATTACGGTTATTTATTTCTCCGTGTAAAAATACAAAAAACTACCTATTTTAGACGAATATTAACATTTAAATTGACAAGACTCGCAAGTATAATACATTTAAGATTTGTTTAGTTATTTCGAGAACCACATGTTCTCTCGTCGGTGAATTAATATAAACTGTCGATCAAGCTGTATGAACCCGCACGGAGAAAGATAAGCACGACAAACAGAAACTGAGTAGGAAAGGAAGGTGATGAACTCGTGCTACAGGTGTTTAAGTTTCTTCAATAGTAAAAAGTATGTACGATTGAGCAAACATGTGTCTTCCTGTTTATTAATACAAGGTTTATTATACTTTATGCGTATCATCTCAGATATCAGTCTTTTGTGGTAGTTGGATTCTCTGTCTAAAATTATTTATACTGTCCCAATCAAACGTGTGATTATATTGAAGTTCGTGAGAATGAACTACTGATCCTACATTTTTATTATTTTTGTGTTCGTTAGTCCGGAATTTTAAGGTTCGTTTTGTTTTGCCCGTATGAGAAGCTGGACATCCGGGATGTTTACAGTTGAATCTGTAGATGACGTTGATTTCGTCCCAGTTTTTGGTCTTATCTTTCTCTAATTCAACAATTTTTTCAAGTTTTTTGTTAATAATAGGATAAGTAAAAATGTTGTAGTCTTTCAATAGTGTCAATATCTTGTTGTAGCTGTTTTTTGTATGTGGTAGGCCTATTTTACCAGAAGATATTATAGGTGTTGAAACATTTTTATTTTTTGTTTTTCGGATGTATTTTGTTTGTCCAATCTACGTTTTATGTTTTTATTAATAAGCTCTATGGCATAATCATTCGGTAGTAGTAACTTTTTAACTTTTGTGATATTTGCTTTGTAAAAGTCTCTACTTGATAGTAATACAGCTTGATCTAATAAATTAAAAACTATGTTTCTTTTTAAGCCGATTGGATGATCTGAAAAGTAATTTAGCATTCGTCCGGAAGAGGTAGATTTTTGAAACTAATTAAATTTAAGATGATTGTTTTTTTTTAAAATTGTTAAATCTTAAAAATTGATTTTTCCGTCTATTTCTATTTCATGTGTAAATTGTAACGAGTGATGATATGAATTGAAAATTTATTTAGTACAGAATCTACGTATTTTTTTTTTATACAGAGTATTATATCGTCGACATAGTGGAAGTAGAAAGCAGGACTGTGATTAAATTGGTCTTTTAATGAATTCAAACATTATCAGTTTCCAAATCATTCATTACAAGATCGCCAAATAAGGGAGAAATTGGAGAGCCTATAGGCGTACGGAAGATTTGTTTATAGAAATAATTATTGAATAAGAAGAAAAAATCGTCGAATAAAAATTGTGTGCATTTTCTAATTTTTTCTATGGGTATTTTTGAGTTCTGTAAGATGGTACAAGTTCTTTTGTCTATACTTTGAAGTACAAGATCAACGGGGATATTAGTGAATAAGGAGCTGACGTCCAAAGAAACTAATATATATTTATGGCTAACCAAAATGTTTTTTGATTTGTTTTTTTGTTTAAAGCTGTTGTTTACGTGAGATTTTGGTGTTGTAATACAATTTTTTGATTCATTATAAATTATTTTGGTGACAAAATATGTAGGACTATAAATGAGAGAAACTATTCGACGGATTAGAGCGTTTTCTTTATGAATTTTCTGAAGCCCGTAACATTTGGCTATTTTTGTATCTGTGAGAGTCAAGGCATTGTTATGACATGTCTTGGAAAGAAAGCATGTTTGCTCAATCGTACATACTTTCCACTATTGAAGAAACTTAAACACCTGTAGCGCGAGTTTATTACCCTCCTTTCCTACTCGGTTTCTGTTTGTCGTGCTTATCTTTCTCCGTGCGGGCTCATACAGCTCGATCGACAGTTCATATTTCTTTGCCGACGAGAGAACGTGGTTCTCGAAATAACTAAACAAATCTTAAATGTATTGTACTTGCGAATTTTGTCAATTTAAATGTTAATATTTGTCTAAAATAGGTAATCCTTGTTGTCAACCTTCGTAAGTGTGACATCGTTTGTGTGTTTCTCACAAAAGTTCGTTTTTTGTATATTTAGCTTCAACCTGATGAGGCTGGCGTACCAGCCAGCGAAACGTCGCCAAATATACATGAATAAACATAAATAAGAAAAATGTAATACTGAGATGTATTTGTTCTCCATATACGCCTCTAACAGATCGCCGTTTTCTTTTTACATATCGACCAAAAAAATTTTGTATTAATACAATAATTGACTTTTTTTACGTTTTTTTCTTTCACAATTTTTCTTTTGTGATTAATGTGATTTTCTGACTTAAGGACGTTTATCTCATTGTTAATAAGGGAAAAAGTTCAGCTCAAAATTCAGAGAGGTGGGAGGAGCCCAAGTTTATGCAGTAATGGTGGAAATTATTTCTTTGATATGGATGTTGTTACAGATCAATCTCGCTAAAAATTGAAACAAGAGAGAGCTTTAAAAAGTTATGGTGATCTTTATTAATTGACAGCGTTTTACATTTGATTTTCAAAGGAAGAATGACGCAGAATCGCTTGAGGATCTATTTAAATAAAGCAAGAATTGTCATAGCAACTATTAACAATAACTTTCGAACTAACAGACCAATTGTGGCCTCCGTCCATGAATGAGCAAGGCTCACTTCACCCCGTGCTTTCCAAACTCTTTGAATTGCACAACTGCTAATTCGAGGGAAAGAGTAGCGCCCGTGGATGATCTCTGTGACCACTGTAGCGTAGCCTAGCACACTTACTCTCCTTTACGTTCAGTGTGCTTAATTTGATTGTTAGCTTACTTAAAGAAATTAAAGAATACAAATAGATCGACAATAACAATGATTTGATAAAAAAAAAGATAAAAATAACGAGAATAGATGTACTTACGTACAAGCTTTTACGCGTATTAAGAAAAAAAAAAACTTATAGATCTATTTGAAAATGAAGTAGGTTTATCTTATGGTAATATTTCAAACCAAAATTGGGAGGTTAATACAGCTCTTGTAAATGTTATTTTAAATGATTTTTCCAGAAGGTTATATGTAAAATTGCAAATCTTTTAAATTAAACGTGTGAAAAGGGGTACAGTTGAACGATCTGCTATTTTTCAAGGGTATTTCTTATTTTCTTAAGAAGTTGTTTCGAAAGCATCGGAAGATTCGATGACAGAGCATAGTCTTGTACTGGCCAGCAACTATATTGTTTATATCGTATTGTGCCATTTAACATTCTTTATAATTGTTCTGTTATAAGATATAAAAATATTTCTTAAAACCACACCCAACTAACGTAGGTATACTCATTCCAACGATAATTGCACCATCTTTGTACATAATATCGTTTCATAGGCGGTATATTTATATTTTTCATTATATTATCTGCCAAATAATTTTATAGAAGTATAACTTCTTTCTTGGGTACCCAAGCACCCACTGCTTAATGGTTTTTTTTAAGTAAACATTTTGAGATCTTACAAAAAATTTTAAAAGACAAAAAATAGAAAATAGCACAAAAGTGAGCTAATAATGTAATGTAAGCTGTATATAATACTATATATTCATTGGTATGCGCAGCGTTACTAAGGCTTGTAGCAATAGATTCATTGGAACGTTTTTTCTTTAATTGGTCTCAATATATAATCTCGCGCAACACGTTACTTGATTTTTTCTCTATGTGACAATAATATATTGCATCCATCGCCCAAAATACGTAAATAATATGCGTATGTAAAAAATATTCAATGTTATACACTCCTAACTTTAATAAACCTACATGTAATACAATTGTTTGGAAGAATGTTTTATTATTAAAGGCTTTCGATTCTTTGAATCCGAATCTGCTATTAGATATGTGAACTATCTACTGTAATAAATTCCCATAGGACTGTATGCACTCAGGGTGAGTATTTCTTACTTTAGCTTTAAATGCATGCAGAATTATTTAATATAACTCAACTTAAAGAACACTTTGTATCAAACATTACATAAAGTAGTACTTCAAATCAACGTAGGCTGAAAATAAGTACTTGTTTTTATAGAAATGATGAAAAATTAACTTATAAATTATGCATGGGATGTGACAAATTATACATTTTATTGTACTAACGTACCTTTTTGTTACTACAACGAGTAGCTACAGTAATCTCGATCGGTGCCAGTTTTCCACTATGTAATATCTTGGTATCTGCTACTGTAATTTCATGTGTATAAGTCATTTTACCAATAAATTTATTAATACCATCTTCCATTGTAATGCTGTATTGATTTTCTTTCGTACGCAATATATTGGCGAGTAGTGGATTTATTTTCAATATTCTAAAATGAGATAATTAACGTTCTTTATAATTAATTTTTAGTTTACTGAAAGTAAATTATCTAACATTAGTTGGTGGTTTGAGAAAAAGAAGCAAATACAAGCTATAAAATGTGTTAAAGGTTTCACTTGTACTTTTGTGCAGTTCTAGTATATGAAAATATGTCAAACAACAATTTGTAAGCATTTTTCAATAATTTCTAACTACATTTATTGGGTAGACAAGCATGATATTATCTTAAACACGTTTTTTTTATGGTAAAATAGTATTAAACATAAAAATTAATGCTTTCCATTATATAAGTTATACATGTATCGTTTCCATAGCTCACAAAAATACGATACAGGTGTTAATTTAAAGATAATCTTATGAATACACTATAACTTTGGTATGTTGTGGGATTATGCTTATTTTGTATCCTTTTTTCATGACATACATTAAAAAATTTTACCCTTGTTTATTAAAAAAATGCAACGTACACTAGCTTTAGACATATGTGTAATATCACAAGTGTGGTTTATGTAGATAAGCGTATCTATTTTATACCATAAATCACCAATATTTATATATTTCATCGATGAATATCAGTCAACGATCTAAATTGTTAGGAAATATTTTAAAAAATCATCAATGTACTTGAAAAATTACTCAGCATTATGATGATTCAGAAAATTTATTTCATGCACGTAACAAGAAAAAGTATACAAAATTATATATTGTAATATTGTTCGTAGTACTCTATGCCAAGTAATATGATCAGTCAAATTTTTGGTCAAAATAAATGAGAATCAGTACCATTCTGTAGTACGGTTCTTCTAAATTTTGAGCTAAAGGCTTTGTGACTGGCATCAGTGACTGTTTAGAAATTAAAATTTTCATAATGGTACATTTATAAAAGTCTTCGTTAACAGGGATGATAAGGACTAAGACTTAGACTAGTAGAATTGTAAAAACCCCACAGCCAATCACCTAACTCAGATTCACAAGTTCTGCTGATGTGTTCTTCTAACTTAAGGTGATCGGCTAGAAATAAATAGTTCCTTATATCCTTTGTAGATAATCTTAGAAGTAATATAATGTGTGTTTATCTATTCTAAAATAATAACTATCACGTGACTGTCGACAGAATACGCCGTGATCTGATTGGTTGTGAGGGATGAAAGGCGGTACATTTAAATGTACATATGAGATTAAGTAGACAAGCGCTGGCTACATCTAGCGCCCTACAGGTTAATCGAGGTCATTTTATTCGTTTGAGCTTAGATTTATTGTTAAAATTTAATCATTCGATTTAGATGAAATAGTTATTAGAAATATGTTTAATCAAGAAAGTTTGGGGGATTGGCGCGTGGAGCGCCCTAGTAATCATAAAAGATACACTTGCACTACTTTTTTAAAATAAAATTATAAAATAACGTTACAAAGCAAACTTAATGCATCAGCAAAACAATTACACTGCCAATTAAACAGTAGAATGAAAAGAAATGCTCTTCATGAGAAAGTGATGTAACAGTTATTATTAATGCATTTAAACGAAAATTCACTTTAAGGAGTGTAAGAAATATGCATCAGTTGAGTTTTATCCTGACTCAAAGAATTCGAAAACTAAGATTACTTAACATCATCATGCAGAAAAAGCTTTATAAAAATACCGATAAATTGATAGTTGGGTGGGTTATTCATATGACTTTTTTTTGATCTCACTTAGCTGAAAAATTTTTCTAGGTGCTCTTGAGAATTCTTTTGCATTAGTAAATACTCTCCATGTAACTTTATTATATGGTGGTGCAGACTAAGACTGTTACATAATAAAGTAGATACTCCAATAGAACTAGCTTTTCTTTAATAATTGGTCTTCGGTTTTTTTATCTAACAATCGCGTGAAAGTTTATGTGCTGACTTTCGATTTTTTTGATATGCAACAAGATATTTAGATACTTCTAAGGAGTTGAATATCCATTCTTCGTACAAATCAAAAGCTTCTAAATCATTCCTCATCAGTTTCATGACGTGACATCCACAAAGAATAAGGTACACAAGTTTATTACTCAGTGAATTAATCACGTATTTTGCTGTATCGTCATCTATAAGTTATCATAGTACCTAAAAAATTTCATATTGTAACATTTGATTTCAAATTTTTGAATGTCTCAGATGTTTTAGTTATGCTAGTTGGATAAAATACAATAAGCTTTTGCTTTATATTGTAGCTCTCTTTTCACCACTCAATAAGTTAACAAAATAGTAAGACATTAAAATTTACCAGTGACTATTTAACTAAAAAAGTTTTGTAGAAACACTGTCATTTAAAAGAATTTTCTGAAAGAATAAAAATCACACCATACAGTTTAATAATAACAAAAGTATACAATGTAATATTCGACATTTTTACAATTTTTAGTACGCGAATGAAAAAAAAGAAAAAAAAAAAAAAAAATACTTAACTCACATTAAAAATGTGTGAATTCTGCTAAAAAAGAATTGAGAAGAAAAAAAAATTGCATCCATAAAGACCATACACGGAGATTCTACTAGCAAAGAAAAAAAAAATCATGTTGGGACACAAGTAGAGTTGAAGCTCAGCTTTGAGAATTCAGTCAGCCGCGCAAACACCTGAGAAAGTACACTTTCTCTTGAAACTATAGAGTAAAAATAAAAGATTTGTTGTTATGACAAAAAATAGCGAAAAAGCAGCGAACGAGATCAGCAAATACGTCTACGGTGCACAGTAGGCAAAAATGCTATTTTTTGTGTCGAAATTACCAAGTGGCCGCTGTGATAGGGTGATCAAGATGATTCTTTTTGGCGCTTGATACTCAAACACCCAAAAATATAGGAAAAGTAGTTCGAAATGGAAAAATAAAATTTAGACGTTTAAAACTACCCCTAAACGCACCCCTAATTACTATATCTTTGTAATATCATAATCATTCAATCAGACAAACACACATTTTTTACAAAAAAAACTATAAACCTACAAATTTTTTAAGTCGCTAATATTGAAAATGACGTCAGAATTCAAAATGGTGGATCCAATATGGTGGCCGAAAACGTCAAAACGCTTTAAAAATTTTAGAAAATGCCCGATCGGAAATTAAACTAAGCTGCCTCGGTAGTTAGAGGGGGTCTACGTAGGCCCAAGGTAGGTTTTGTAACGGTGGAATTGGTAGGGACTAGGTAGAAAGCCTAGCTAGGTATCTTTCATCTCACTCTTTCTTATGCTGTAACTGTAGCTATAATATATAGGTACAACTGATGCGAATGACAGACACTTTTAAGCAGTGTGTGTAAGATAATTAACTGACATGTTAAGGGTTTTCTGCATTTTTATTGAATAGTTTAAAAAATTTTCTTTTGTAAAATGAGTGGGACAGTGAAATGATCGTTGTCATTAAGTAAGGAAAGGATCGAAAGATATCGTGCTTTAAAATATGCAGTTGCAAAAGAGGAAGAAGAAGAAATACATGGCTTCGACATTCGTGCAAATTACGATGGGTTATTGGGTTATGAGATCAAAATCAAAATGCTGGGGACTAAAACATTTAAAATATTCTCACAGTTTTATTAAATTGACACTATTTTTTTCCTACTGTATTTTTTTACATTGTAAAAATAATTTATTTTTTCAATAAAAAAGTAACCACTGTGGTAAGACGTTATACTATCTTTTATTCTACTAGTCTAAGAACTAATTTCTTGAAGTACAGTACATTACGCACACCTAGTGAGTGAGGTTAAGGAGCATCGGCTCTACGTGAGCATGTATGTTGCTTATTGAGTTTGCGAATATTCAGTTATAGAATTATTCACCCTATCTTGCCTGCAGAGTCATATAACATATTTAAGAACACTGTAGAGTCAGATAGTGTGATGATCGGTTGCCTAACATTTTACTTGTATTTTCTGTCGAGACAAGCTTGGAGGTGTGGATAAAAAAAACTGTTTTATGGTGGTGTATTTCGCATTTAGGTTTTGACCTGTATCGCACATTTTTGTAGTATTTTTCATCTACACATATTCTTATAGTATGTTTCCCTCATACTTTTTCTCTCTCTTTTCTTATGGAGTCGGATTAAGGTATGGAGTTATAAGGGTATTTTTTGTTGACTTCCACTCTCGACGCCGCACAGTAGGCAAAAATGCCGTTTTTTTGTGTCAAAATTAATAAGCGGCCGCTGTGATAGGCTGATCAAGATGATTCTTTTTGGCGCTTGATACTTAAACACCCGAAAATATAGGAAAAGTAGTTCGAAATGGAAAAATAAAATTTAGACGTTTAAAACTACCCCTAAACGCACCCCTAATCAGTATACCTTTATAATATTATAGTCATTCAATCAGACAAACACACATGTTTTACAAAAAACCATAAACTAATAAATTTTTTGGGTTGCTGATAACGAATATGACGTCATAATTTCGAAATTCAATATGGCAGCAGAAAAAGTCAAAGTGCTTTAAAAATTTAAGAAAATTTGGCCATAGAGGTTTTTCAGGTTACTCAACACGAATCTTGTATCAAAATTACATAATTTAAAATGGCGGATCCAATATGGCGCCATCAAACTGATACTTCTTAAAAACGAACAAGTTCTCGGCTATAGCAGTTTTTTAGGTGACTGAATACGCTTTTGGCATAAGAATTGTATTATAATTATAAAATTAAAAATGGTGGATTCAATATAGCGTCCAAAAAAGCTGACACCTGTTCAAAACTAACAGAATATTAGCCCTGGTGGTTTTTTAAGTTGCTAAACACGAATTTGGCATCAGAGCTGAGTCATAATTACGAAACTAAAAATGGCGGATCCAATATGGCAGCCAAAACAGTTTTAACTTGTCAAAAAGTAAGAAAATTTAGCCTTACAAATTTTTCTAGATCCTACAACACAAATTGAGCATTAGAATTACTAAGTTTTAATAAGCCGAGACAACATAGAGGTGAAAAACGTTAATACAAAGGTTTCGTCTGTCACTGACCACAAATTTAACATTACAATT